ACAATAAAACACATGAATTTACCTCTGCGCAGCTTCTCAGAGTTCTCACCACATAAACCAGGGGACGATCTCCCGTCCGTCTTTGGGAGTTTCGTAGTATTTTATTTACTTTACAGTCTACTGACTATCCAGCTCGGATCCCGATAACGTAGCCTCCTTGCTGTCGCTAATGTGCTGCGGCACGTCGGTTATGCTAAAGCACCTCCTAACCTGAACAAGGTTGAGGACAGGATTGGCTAAGGCTACATACATTCAAAGAATGAGAGATTAAAGAGATGCTTCACTACCCCCACAAACAAACGTGGTCTCCTATCTTTTGTGCCAACAATCATATGGATTTTAAAACTAACACCACCGCTTTTATCTCTGACTTTTACTGTATATGAAATGACTTTTTAAACATATTTACACTTCATGAACTATTATATTATATAGCAACACAAACATTTTAATATCTGTATATGAATGAATGAAAATAATAGCCACAGGGCTACACTAGTATCAATTCAAATATTGACTTGGAAAAAGTGAAATTTTACTTTAACAGCTTTGAGCAGCAACTATATGAAACAACTTCTCTGTGCTGCATTCACAGTAGCTTCTGACATTTGTAGATAGTAAGTCTGTCGCAAAGCAGTTGTTCTGTGAGCTCTGCTGTAGGAAAAATCAACCCTTTAAGTTAAAGCTGGTCTTCTTTCTCATTTTTCTTATTGTTGTCAAATCTCATGAAAACAGTCTCAAAACTATTCGCACAAGGTAAGGTCAGGTACGTACTCGTAAAAATACAATGCACTAATAAATGAGAGTGATTTGAATCTGTATCTGCATCTGTGCCTCTAATTACAGACTCGTATATCATCATTTGCACATCACCTTAGGATTTTTCAATTGAAATATATTTGTGCATCTCAACTTTGGTGTGGATCCTTTATGAGACTGTTCTACCCTCTGTTCTACCGTTTGTGTCACACAAAATCCATAACTGGCAGGAGAACCAAGTGCTTTCCAGTAGTGACAGTAATGCAACATTGATGGATACCAACCGCAGTTAAACTAAACAGAAGAAGAAGAATCACACAATCACACAACGTCACCTCCATGTTGGACCGTGTAACTCTAGCCTTAACACACAAAAAACAAAGTTTTGCTGACAAGCACTATAACGGATACATTTTTCAAACCATTTCAAGTGAGTCCTTTTTATATTCAAGGTGGATTACTGATCTACATGTGTGTGCAAAAAAGTTTTGTTTCTAGTTCAGAACCTCGATAGTTTAGTTCTTTCAATAAAGTTGGTGTGTAATCAATGTCAGGTTTACATTAACTGAATTATGGGGTGAATTGTAAAAACTTTATTGATAAAACTCAATGGCTGTACATGAAATGTGCGAAAGTTTTAATTGTGGAATTTTCTTTTTTTATGTCTACTGAATGTCCCTCATCTTTAGACTTTCATTGCTCCAGGTCAGAAAAAGCCTCCACTTTTTTCAGTCATCTTGTTATTTTCCAGCATTCAGGCCTACCTGTCTTTGTGCATCCTGTAGCTGGGCTACCTTCTGCTGCACCTCTGAAGACTCAGCCCTCAGTCCTTCTCGCCTTTGACAGGCTCCCTCGACATGGTGCCGTGCCCCCTCCAGCTCAGCCTCCAGACGCTGCAGCTTCAGGTCTGACAGGGCATCCCAGACTGTGGGAAGCACTGTAGTGTCGGCCCACGACCCTCTGACAAAACCAAACAGCTTCAGTCTGTTTCACAGTCACTGCTCTACAGTGAGATGAAAGGCGTCTAGAGAAAACATCCCCGAATTGGGGATGAGGTCAATGGCAACACTATCCACCCCAATGTTGTCCTTTTTCAGAGTTTTACAACTCAGTTGAAACTATTAAAATGTAAACCAGAGAAAGCATTTTCAACCAGTGTCCCAAGCTTTTGGCTAGTGATATTAGCTACTGATAAATGGCTGGTAAGCAGCTACCAATACGATTATGAGTGGCTTTCAGCTCCTCTTACTTTTATTTCTTGTATTATTCCTCTTTCCTACTACTGCTGACACTACTATGAACTGTATGGGTCTACTTCTGATCCACACGGAACCCACCTCTGGGTACGTCAAGACTAGCTTCGAGTTGTGGACTGATGTTGTGTCTTTGCTGTGGAGTTCAGCACTGAGTTTTTGAAGGGACGTTTCTCTCTGTCTGAGGGCAGACTCCAAACTGCAAGATCCTCTCCACATGCTGCTCTGCTAGAGTCGTTCTGACACA